GGCAGAGCTGGGGGGGGGCAGGGCTGGGCTGACAGGGGGCTGCGGGTCGGGAGTGAGGGGCACCGGCAGAGCTGGGGGGGGGCAGGGCTGGGCTGACAGGGGGCTGCGGGTCGGGAGTGAGGGGCACCGGCAGAGCTGGGGGGGGGCAGGGCTGGGCTAGCAGGGGGCTGCGGGTCGGGAGTGAGGGGCACCGGCAGAACTAGGGGGGGGGCAGGGCTGGTCTGACCTTATTTTATTGGCTCTCCTAGCCAGGTTCGTTCCGCCCCTTTCCCATCCCACGATTCGACCCCTCCGAGAAGGATCCAGATCGGTGCGGACCTGTGAGCTGGGTTCTAGACACCGCAAGGATCTAGCTCGGGGTTCTAGACTCTGGAGCAGCCACATCCGGGAATCTGGAGAAACAGGATGAACCATCCAGCTCTAGAGCAAGTGGGTTCCTGATCCCACCAGGTTCCAGAGCAGGCCCCAGGGAATCTGCTTGACGCTAGAGGAACACAAATGCTCCAAACCCCATGTTACTGAGCAGCGAAGGATCTGGACCGTGCTGGGTTCTAGAGCCTGCAACCATCCTGTGGCCTGTTACACCGTGAGGTGGAGTCATCAGAAGGGAGAACTGGGTTCTAGATTATCCCAGGTTTCTAGCACCCAGTTCTAGATCCTTGTGGGGGTCTAGCCTGCTTGCGGTTACTGAATTCCACGTGTGTCTAGATCTGGGTGGTCTAGGCTGGAGAGGAGACCCAGGCACAGGCCAATCTAGAGTCACGTTCTAGTCGCTCCTTGACATCTGAAGAGCCCAGACATAGGGGTCTGGATTCAGCATTGGAGGCACCTGCTCAGAGGATCCAGAACCTCCAGATGATCTAGAGCAGACACGGCTGTAGACGCCATCAGGTTCCCGAGCTGACACCTCCTGCCAAGCTGATGAGTGCGGACTCCGGAAACACCAGCAAGACCTGCTAGGTTCTGGAGCCATCACATCCCTGGGAGCCGGTTCTAGATCCTGCCTTGCTCTAGATCGGTTGGAGCTGTGGGTTCGGTGACCTCTAGAAAGCAGCCGTAGGGCTCCAGAGTGGGCCAGCCCAACGCAGGGAGCCCCAGAACCCCTCAGAGGTTCCAGATCAGGTTCTAGACCCCCATGGAGGACCAGAGCGACACCTGCCGGCTGTGCAGCTCCCCGCTGCAGGGCAGCCAGCGCCGGTGGCTCTTCCACCGGGCCCCCCAGCGCCCCGACCTGCGGGTTCTCCTGGCCCACGTGTGCCGGGAGGCGCCGTGCCGGGGCGACGGCCGGAGCGAGTTCCTCTGTGGGAAATGCGCCCAGGCGCTGGGACGGGTTTTCCGCTTCGACACGGTGATCGCCCGGGTGCAGGCGCTGTCCCTCGAACGGCTCCGGCGCCTCCTGGAGGAGAAGGAGCGTCTGGTCCGCTGCCTCCGGCACCTCCATGCCCGGCGCAGCCCCACGGCCAGCCTGCCCCCGAGCCCGGCGGGCGCCCCCCAGCTGCCGGACGTGTCATACCAGCGGCTGCTGCAGGAGGACATGGCGCTGGCCGGGTTTGAGTGCTGGGCGGAGACGGGCGCCGCCGGAAGCCCCTGCCAGAACCGCTGGTGCCCCGGCTGCCACGGGCTGCGGGTGCCCGACGCGGATTACGAGTGGGTGTGTGGGACGCCGCGGCAGCTCCGCGCCGGGTCCCCGGCACTGCCCCTCTGCCGGGACAAGTCCCAGAGCATGCCCCTGGTGCTGCGGGCCGGCCTGGGGGGCACCCGGGGGCACGGCGGGTCCCTGCTTTCCCTGCGCTCCTGCTCCCTCCTGTCCCTGGACAGCCTGGCCGGGCACGAGCCGCTGGGGGAGGCGCTGCGGGCGCTCGGGGGCATCGGCCGGCGGGCGCTGAGGGTGCCCCGCGGCAGCAGGATCCCAGTGCTGGCAGGGAGGGCAGCCCCCTCAG